CAAGCCCTGACACCACTGCCGCACGTGAGTTACGAACGCCTTTTCGAACTCAGGCCCTCCCACAGACGCCGAAGGCTGTTTTAAGTGCCCATTACAAACTCCCATGTGACATAAACATACTTCCCCATAAAAGTGAAAGGTGACTAATCTGTACTTGTCCTTTCCAGTCAGGGACCGATGCAGCATCGTGCTATTCTGGAAGCCAGGGGCATTTTCGTAATTAGTCTCTGGGTCATTGCTGAATAGCTGAAGCAATCCCAATCGAACTTTCGGTCTCCACTGAGAAGCGTGAGTAGATTCAACTAGGTGCAGATTTGATCAATGACAGGATACGACTAGCTCCTCCATCAACGGATGGCAGATCCCATCAACAGTGAAATGTGGCTGCTCGTTTCCTCAGCGGACCAGCTGTTCACATCAGCAATGTAATCTGGTCGTTCCTCCCATCAGTGGAATCGCTATTCACATCAGCTGCGTAACCCGACCGTTCGTCCCATCAGCGGGATCACTATTCACATCAGCAGCGTAATCCGGCCGTTTATCCCTTCAACAGGATCACTATTCACATCAGCAGTGTAATCCAGCGGTTTCTCCCATCAGTGGGGTCACTGTTCTCACCAGCAGTGTAGCCCAGCGGTTTCTCCCATCAGCGGGATCACTGTTCTCATCAGCAGTGTAGCCCAGCGGTTTCTCCCTTCAGCGGGATCACCATCCTCATCAGCACATGCACTCCGTCTTGGTCTCTTTGCTGTACCAGCCGTGTCCGCCATGGCTGGAACCCGCTTGCTCATGCGAACGGGTACAATCCGTCCCCCTGCGGTCTCCCGTGGTCGCGGTCCAAACACTGCGTTCCCTCTGCGTTCCCTCCGGTTCCTCAATCTCCAAAACTACCTTTCTGGTCTCTCCTTCATGGGTGCACACCCATGGCTGTCACAACCATGGCAGCACCAGCGAGCTACGTTCACGCTGGTCGCCCGCCCTTGTGCGCCCCGTTCTCCCTGGTCGCGTCGTTACTCCATCCCCAAATGACCTGTTCTCCCTCTGGTCTTCCCGCTGCTGTGACAACGGGCGCCTTGGTCACTCCCACCAGTTCGCCCTGGTCCCCCTGGTCTCCGCAACTGCTGAATAGCCCCCGACACTTCACTGGCTTGACTATATGTGGTCTGCAGCCCGCACAGTGGCCTCAGCGGACAGGAGGCACTCGCAGTCTCAAGCACTGACACAATGGTTTCCACGTAAGGCCTGGCCGCACCAGCGGTCCCGAACTCACCGGAGTACCGCATCAGGAAATAAGGAAATAACTGTGTCAGCTAGGTCCCGAACTATACCTGCGCCGTGTCCGTTCTTGGAGAGATTGTACCGAGCCTCAGAGGCCTACAGACGTGCCAACCCACTAATTACACCAGATATACTAGTTGCCACAAACAGTAAGGGTTTGTGTCGTCGCCATAACAATGCCGAACGTGGGAATTATCGGTTTAAGCTGTAGCAGCCTGTGTTGTCACCGTACAACAAACTGTATCGTTACCGCACCAATGCAGAGCCTGAAGTAATCGCTTGGAGATGCTGTAACCCATATCGTGTCGATGCCGATCCAAGACCGAG